TCACAATAGCCTCAGATAAAATAAAATATTTGGGAATCGATCTAACGGTGAAAGACCTCTACAGTGGAAAACTACAGAACACTAAAGAAAGAACTTGAAGAAGACCTTAGAAGACAGAAAGATCTCCCATGTTCTTGGATAGACAGAATTAATACGATGAAAATGGCCATATACCAAAAGTGCTATACAGATTTAATGTAATTCCTATTAAAATTCCAATGTTGTTCATAGAAATAGAAAAGGCAGGTATCACTACAATGATGCAGCCACATTCATGTTTATAGCAGCTCAATTCACAATAGCTAAACTGTGGAACCAACCTGAGTGCCCTTCAACAGATGAATGGATAAAGAAAATGTGGTACATATATACAATGGAATATTACTCAATCATAAAGAAGAACGAAATTATGGCATTTGCCAGTGAATGGCTGGGACTGGACACTATTCTGCTAAGTGAAATAAGCCAGTTGCAAAAAAACAAAGGCTGAATGTTCTCTCTGATAAGTGGATACTAACACACAGTGGGGCAGGCGATTAGAAGTTCACTGGATTAGACAAAGGGGAATGAGGGGAAGGGACAGGGGATGGGAACAGGAAGGACAGTGGAATGATCAGACATAACTTTCCTATGTTCTGATATGAATTCACGGCCAGTGTAACTCCACTTCATATACAACCACAAAAGTGGGAAGTCAGATGCCATGTATATATAGTATGTCAAAATATATTCTACTGTCATGTATAGTTAAAAAGAACAAATAAATCATTTTTATAAATAAATAAAAGCTAGGATGGCCAGGCACAGTGGGGCACACCTGTGATCCCAGCAGCTTTGGAGGCTAAGGTAGGAGGATTGTAAATTCAAAGTCAGCCTCAGCAATTTAGGGAGGCTGTAAGCAACTTAACAAGATCCTGTCTCAAAACTAAAAAAAAAAAAAAGATGGGACTTGAGCTGGGCTCCGTGGCACACGCCTGTCATCCCAGCAGCTTGGGAAGCTGAGGCAGGAGGATCGTGAGTTCAAAGCCAGCCTCAGCAACATCAAGGCGCTAAGCAACTCAGTGAGACCCTGTCTCTAAATAAAACACAAAATAGGGCTGGGGATGTGGCTCAGTGGTTGAGTGCCTCTAGTACCCCCCCCCCCCCCCAAAAAAAAAAAAGATTTCCATAGGGACTGGGGATGTAGCACAGTGGTAGAGCACATGCTTAGCATGCAAGGGGCCTTGGGTTCAATCCCCAACGCTGCAAGAAAAAAAAAAAAAAGAAAAGAAAAAAGTTCCAGGTGAGTCAGACCTCTGCGGCCACCCCTACGCCATCCCACTGAAACCCATGCAGAACAGACTCAATAAAAACTGGGATGGAGATGGGTCATGTCTTGTCTTCCTTTTGTCCTCTGGATTGCGCTGCCTGAGGTTTTGTCGAAGGAGGATATTTCCCCCCCC